ATCCCTTCACTTGGACGTGAATGTGAGGACATAGGCACAAAGTGATACCAGGAACTGCTAAAAGATAGTGATTCACAGGCCAAGCATAAATAAATGAATCAAACCATGCTAGATTTCTTGATATACACAGAACAACCTATCCTACAAAAGAAAAACCAGTTCCTGTAATGAATTAACGTTGTCCCTGAATAGGTTCTGACTATGATGACAGTTTTCTAACCAGGAAAAAATCCACTAGAACTGAGTGAATATTTATTGAGTCAACACCTCAAACCAGATGCCCCACAAAGCAGAGACTTCCTTTCTTTCTAGAAGGTGAGAAACAAAAATGAAAGTAAGATGATTATTTCCTTCATATAAACTCTCCTACTGAAAGATCACAAACAGATTTGGTTATTGTTTACTAATTTAAGAAGCCCCTGTACGGAACAGCATAATGTGTGCAGGTGCTAACTGAAAGGTTGGTGGTTCGAATCCACCAGCCAGCTGCTCTGAGGATGAAAGTTGGGCAGACCCTTCCCTTAAGAGTTACAGCCCTGGAAACATACAGGGTCACTGTGAGTCAGGACTGACTGGACAGCAGTGGGCTGGGCTGGGCATTTTACTAGCTGGACACAGAATTCTTCCATCTGAGTCATTCCAAGGAAATGCCAAAATGACAAACTCACTCCTGTATGTACAAAAATGGCACTTCACATTGTAAAAGTCTGTCTAGAATTCTGAGTCATTTTGCTTATTTGTTAACTGTTATTGTGATTTGAGAGAACATTTACAGAGCAGATCTGTATTCCATTCAACCGTCCAGACATCTTTTCTCCTGACATTGATTATAATCCCTGGGCTGTGTCATCATCACCCCTCCCACTGTTCCTCTGTGGCCACTGTTTCTACTCATCTCTCCCTCCTCTGCCCTCCTACCTCCTGAGCTCTATCCGTGGACAAGTGTTGCCCTTACGACTGTGTATCTCAGTGTTTTAAGGGCTGATTAACTCTCTAGCGTTCTCATCTTATAGATCTGTCTATTGTTTGGCTACAAAGCTGTGCCACAGGGGTGAGATCAGTTCCAGGGTCAGAGAGCAGCTAAGGACCTCAGTCTCAGGGGTTCCCCCAGGCTCAGTCAGTCAGACCAGTAAGCCTGGGCGTGATTGTGCTTTTAGTTTTGGCCTGCATTTATCTCTCACTCTACCCAGGATCCTCTCTTGGGATCGATTTAGAGATCCTTTTAGCCATTATAACCAGGAATCGTCTAGATTTTCCGGCCTCAGGGTCATAGAAGTTGAGGAGTACAAAGTCTAATAGTTCTGCAGACTGATTGCTTCCATGTGTTTTTATTTTCTTCACTTTTCTTTGCTCCAGGCAGGTAGAGATTAATGGCTGCACCTTAGATGGCTGCTCTGAAGCTTGTAAGTCCCCAGTTGCTACTCACCAGGGTGGTGGAACAACGTCTCTGTGGACTCTGTTATGCCTGCTCATCTTGATGTCTCTGAAACTATAATCCGGAGGGCCCATGATGAGTGTTTCATTCCCTCAGGATGCTTGGCAATAGTTGGGAAGTTTATGTGGTTTTATTGGTCCCCTACTGGCTCTATGATACACATGGATATACTTGTAGCACATAAAAATATTTACACTGAGCTATAATCTGTTAAACCTAAGCATGACCATGGGTTCAGTCTCTTTCACTTGCCCATAATCTGTGGATAACTTTAAAATATAGATGTTATCAAGGCAGTCTTAGAGGTGACTCTCTGTCTCCTAGATCTGCATAATAAAGTGCATTTATGGATAACAAAAAAAATATAGATGTTATCGTTCCATATCAGTAATGCTCCAGCTTTTAACTCCACTGGCTCTCTTTTGTCGGCCTTACAAGCCGTCTCTTATCTTGCTGGAAATGCTAATTTTTGAAAGTCATACTCTGTTTGGACTTGTGGTAGTCATCATTAAAAACTTCTCTGAGAGGACAGCCTTCCCCTTGGCCTGACTGTAAGGAAGTGTAGGAGCGGGCTAGAAGTGGAGGCGGCTGACTCACACTGCACTGACCTAGAACAACGGGGTCCTGACACTGAGCCACATGGAAAGTAACTCAGTGGCTCTGGTTTAAAGGCAGCCAGTCAGGCTGCATGACGCAAACAGAGGTCAGTATCAGTGTGATGAGCAGAACTTCAGTCATACAACTGTGACTACTATGAGGCTGCCTTTTTAAATAGCCAGTGTACAGCCACTGCCTAGCTCGTTGTTGTTGTGTACTGTCGAGTTGGAACCAACCTGTACCTGAGTGTCCAGCAGGTTTTCAGAGGCCGTAAATTAGGAGAATGCTCATCCTTCTCCCGTAGAGCAGCTGTTGGATTTGAACCACAAACCTTGGGGATTGCCGTGCACTTTCCTGCCACTAGGCCACCAGATCTCCCTGCCTAGCTCATAGTAATTACTAAAGAAGTGTCTGTTGAATGGAAGGAATGAATGCACAGACTTTCTGTCAAATTCATACATGTGAACTTATCTGAGAGGAAAAAAAGAACTAAAACCAGCAGCCATCAAGTCAACCCCAACTGATGGCTACCTCACGTGTATCTGAGCAGAACTGTGTTCCACTGGGTTTTCCAAAGATGACATTTTTTCAAAATGATACCAGTGTTTCTTTCTTCTGAGGTGCCTCTAGGTGGGTTTGAAACACCAACCTTTTGGTTAGCAAGTCAAGTGCTTAGCTATTTGTGCCACCAAGGGATTGTCCAGGAAAGGACTATGATATACTAAAATGAACTTCTTTCAGGGGCTACACTACCCAGTATGTATATGAACTATGACTGTAAGTGTTGTTAAGCTGACTTCACCCTATGTACATACACTATGTCAAAATTCTACATGACCCTACGTCCTCCTTACCAATCTCTGTTGTGCTTATCCCCCTATGTCAAACCACTGACGGCCTTCCTTTCCTTTGCTGGCCTGCTACTTTTCCAAACATGATGTCCTTTTCCAAGGAATCCAGCAAATATGAGGACTAATTCTATTGCTACAGCTTTGGAAATGAATCTGTTCATCAGATTTGAAAGTCCCATGCTTTAGATAGAAGGCAAAAGAGAAGACCATTGACCAGTGGACTGACACAGTGACTGCAGCAATGGACTCAAATGTGTCGGAGGTAATGAGGAAAGGAAAGCACAGCATTGGACATAACTCATATCTGTTGCTCACAGGGTCACTATGAGTTATTCTCAATTCCATGGCACAAAAAACCCCACAAACAACCAGTAACAACATGCTTTAGATATTGACCTTACTTTTTAAATTAGCACTTGAATGGAAGGCCCTTGAAAGCAGACACCAAACTTTTATTGTTCATCATGATGTGGTCTGTCCTTAGCACAGTGCCGTGCACATGGTAAAGATTTAGCAAATATTTGTTGAATGAATGATTAACCTTAAGTCCTACATTTTCTTTGCCCAACATACAATAATCATAAATAACTCCCTAGAATTCTACCATGGTTCTAGGCATTAATCTTAAATTTTTTTTATTATTAATTTCAATGAAAATTTAGAGACGTTGGATTTCCGTTCATTCATTGTCACACTTGATAATCTTAAATTTTAAACTCAAAATTCTGTCAGAATCAAACACCAATTTTACCTAGAACTACCAATACACTAGGGTTTTGGCTTACTATAATTAGTACAAAAAGAATACCAACTTCATTACTTAATACCACTACATTCATTCACCTATCCATTGTAAAACACAGCACAGAGGTCTTAGACATAGATAACAGAAAAATGACTTCTAAAGGTATCATTGTTGATAAATTGTTGATAGCTGAAACCTGAGATCTTTGTCCTACCATCTGTATAGGCCATGAACAAATAGTATTTAAGCATCTAAGGATTTTATAAGTATGGAAGGCAAAGGGGGAATCCTGAAAAGGCTATACATTTGGAAATGTGGTATTCTGTCAAAGTTTCTTTAGAATTCCTTTTCAGGCAGTCTGAAATCACCAAGTTATCTTATCTGGCCTTTTCTCAAGAGCTCAGGGAGGTGCTCATTAAGGGAACACGTTTTTGAGGACAGGTGTGAGCGTTCATGCTTGGGCCTTAACTTGAAGGTCAACTTTGTGGCTGCCCCATGCAGGTGTTCCCTAACGCACCTTACTGGTTTTGCTCCAGCATATGCTTCTTCTGCCCCATCTCTGAGCTCGAGGTTCCCCCACAATGATGCTCATGTGTATGGCACTCTTCCTCTGAGTGTATTTTGGAGAGAAGTTTTCTCTCTTTCTGCAATACTATCTGCCTCTGTCTTTCAGAAAGTTATTCTGTGTATGGCCTTCCAGTAATACTCTTTCTTTATTATATCAAAAAGATGTTTCTGATAGTCATTCAAATGCATTCAACTGTGTGGATCATAAAAAATTATGAACAACGTTGCAAAGAAAGGAAATTCCTGAACACTTAATTGAGCTGATGTAAAAGAGCTTGTATTTAGACTAAGAAGTAGTGCTCAAATAGTATAAAGGATTATTGTGTGGCTTAAAATCAAGAAAGATGTGTATCAAGGTTGCAACCTTTCATTATACTTACTCTATATGTTAAACAACCTGAAAAGCTAGGCTATATGAAGAATACTGATCGGAGAATGGCCCATTAACAATTTAAGATATGCAGGTGACATACTCTTGCTTGTTGAAAGTGAAGACGACTTGAAATACTTACTGATGAAGATCAAAGACTTTTTTTTTTCCAAAGACTTTTTAAAACCTTCAGATTTACACATCAACATAAAGAAAACAAAAAAAAGTCTCACAACTGGACCAAGAAGCAAAATGATGATAAACAGAGAAGAGATTAGAGATGTCAGAGATTTGCACATGTGGACATCGTTGAGTTTGTGGTTTACTTGTGCATTTTTACCACAATTAAAAAGAAAGTTAAAACACGCATATCCCCCACAGCTGGGATAGGCTGAGTGTCTAGAAACAACTGTGCATTTTTGCCTCCTCACTTACCTGTAAGTTGCTGGAGTTCTATATCCAAACTGTCAATGTTACTCTCATAAAAGTCAAGGTTCTCCGGAGTCTCTGCCCTAGACGACTCATCCTGCTTCTCCTCCAGCATCAAGTTTAGTTCTTCTTGAGTCTCACTATCCATATCCAAGTCCTGCTGCATTTCTTGAATCTTCACTAGCACTAAGGGACACTGAGAAGTTTGGTCCACAGGCTTTTCCACATTCTCTTGGGTCTCCTTTTCCAGAGACTCACCGCCAGGATGCTTAGAGGTGAGGCCTTTGGGAGATGTGTTCACTCTCTGCTGGGCTGAGGGAGGCAAGGGAGCTGGGCGAGAGGGGCGTACCGCCAAGGGCGGGGTCGGTTTCAGGTTCTGGTCAGTCAGCAAATGGGGAGCAGTAAACACTGGGGTGCAGGGACGTGGTGGTGGAGGCCTCAGGGCCTTCTTCCTCTCAGGCAACTCTTGCTGAGTCATCAATTTTGAGGAACCCCGGACAATATCCTTCTCGGAGTTAAAGCCCGTGATTGAAAAATGGCGAACAATTTTATCTGGTTCTGTGCCAGGCCCTGACAAGCTCTTCTCAAACTCTAGCAGCTGCTGAGTCAACTTGGAATCCAGGTCAATGCCGCCATCTCCCTGGTCAAGTGCGGCTGCTTCCACAGCAGGCCCCTTGCCTCGTGGGCCAGGCATCATCTCTGATCTGTCAGACACAGAGATAAAGTTGAAAGCAGGTTCTTTGGACTTGCGAGGTTTTTTAGCAAACTTTGGCGTGCCCCGGAACTGAGGGCTCAGCTGGCCAGGTTTGTGGGTCCTAGAGGTTGGGAGTAAAGAGCCGCTGTAAAGATGGGGTTTGTGGGCAGTTTTCAGCTGCGAATACGCTCCTTTGAGAGGTAGACTGGAGTAGTCTCTACTCCTTGCTTCTGCAGGAAGAGGGTGATGGTTCTCTTCTGCAGTAAAGAAATACTGGTTTTTATGTATTTTAGGATGAAAATGTGACTGAGGCTGGGAGGAAACTCCATTCACCACCTCCAAAGGATCATTCACGGAAGAATCTTTGGCAGGAGGCTTTTCATGCATCAGGCCTGGGCTTCTTGAAGGCCCCCTCAAGATGATGTCTTCATCCTGATAAGAGTTTCTGTTGCGCTCATACTCAGGGGTCATATGTTCCAGGGGAGGAGCGAATGTTTCAGAAATCGCACAGCTGGATGTCTCTGGTCTATACTTGTTAAATTCGTGTCTTCTTTCCTCCACTACTGAGGAGTTCTCCAATGAGTCCAAAGGCATTTCTGGCGTCGTGGTATGGTTGCTCTCCTGTGGCAGGACCCTGGTGTCCCCCACCCTTGTGTTAGGACATAACTTTACAAAACGGTGAGGGAAGATTCCTGTCCTGCCCTTCAGTGATCCTTCCAGCCAGCCATCTTCCAGGGTTCCCAGAATCCGGATTTTATCCCCTACTTCAAAATCCAACTCATTAGGCTCCAAGGCTTGGAATCTGTAGAGGGCAATTCCATAGGTCCCCGGCTGTTCTTCATCCTCTTCTGGCCCTCGCTCTTCTTCTCCCATGGGGCCCTCAACTGCACCGTTACTTATGCACCCATCTTGATTTCCAGAAGCTGCTGACTTATCCACAGTCCTCAGAGGTCCCAAAAGCTCTACAAAACCTTCTGGGAAAATACCTCTTTGTCCGTCTAATTCTCCTTCAAACCAGCCTGGTTCAGGGACCCCAATAATAGTAATCACATCTCCTTCTCTGAAGTCCAGTTCCTCATCCAGCTGAGCAGAAAGCCCCATCAGGGCCCGGGCTTGTCCCATGGAATAGTCAGGAATCTGAAGGAGGGCACTCTGTGAGTGCCACTGACGGCTTTGTGAGGAGAGGCAGAGTTCACGGACACATGAAGACGGGAAGAAGCCTCGTGCGCCCCAGCAGCTTCGACCCTGCAACCAGCCAGCACTGGGGGAGCCATCCAGGATCACCAGGTCACCTAAAGAAGGAAGAGAAGCAAATAAAATTACCTCAGTGACTCCCTGGTCAAATACTTACAACTAACTGTGGCATTAGTGGTTTTAAACATCTACTCCATGAGTTTTAACAGCAGGAACTCAGGTTATTTAGTAAATTGGAACAGTCCTATACACTGGAAGTTTTCAAAGTGTAATCATCTGAACCCTGTGTGGGAGAGACAGATCTCCAAGATCCTCTTACAGGGTCTAAGAGGGCAAAACTGTTTTTATAATAATACTAAGACTTTCTCTACCTTTTTCTACTGTATTGGCATTTGAAATGAAGGTACAAACCAAGAGTGGATAAAACAGATGGTGCTTTAGCATGAGTCACTGTAATAGCAACAAACTGGATAAGCGTCTTTGGCTATCACTATATGGTCACTGTGTTATTCACCCCAGCTGAATAACTAATAGTGCAACTAGTCGTTGTTGTTATGTGCCTTTGAGTTGCTTGCGACTCATAGCAATCCTATATACAAGAGCCCTAAAGCCTGCTCTATCTTGTGCCAACACCCACCCTTATTACCCGAGTCACTGAATCAATTCATCTCAAGGATGGTCCTTCTCTCTTTCACTATCTCTCTACCCTTCCAAGCATGTCCCTCTCCAAGGATTGGTCCCTCTTTGCAACTTGTCCAAGGTATGTCAGATGAAGCCTCAGAATCCTAGCCTCCAAGGAGCAGCCTGATTTCACCCATCCAGGGTGAACCTGTTTGTTCTCCTAGCAGTCCATGGTATATTCAGTACTCTTTCTCCAGCATCACAGCTCAAAGGCATCAATTCTCCTTGCATCATCCCTAGTCATTGTCCAGCTTTCAGATGCATAGCAAGTAACTGTTGTGTACACATAGTTTTTTAAAATGCCAGTTTCAGCTAAAAATGTCCTTGATGAAGAACAACAATTAAAATTTTGTTTTTAAACTGTATGTGACTTTATATATCCCTTTTATTAACACTATTGTGATCTGAGTGAAGATATAGGTTTTCCATTCAATAATTCATACACTTTATGTTTCCTGACTGGATTACAGTTTCCACATTATAACAGTACTCTGCACACTTCCTCCTTATGCTTCCTGATATCATTCATCCTTTTTTCCTACCTTTTCCTGTTTTTATCCCTGGACAAATGTTGCCCTTTTGATCACATACAGCGCTGACTTTTCTTTTTTTTTAATTGTTATGTGCAGTCGAATCAAATCCAACTGGCACAGGAGTAGATTGCCCTCCTTCTCCAGTGGAACATCTGGTGGGTTTGGCTGATTTTTCTAAAGAGTATCCCGCTCCCTGGTTACTGACTATCTCACAGACCTACGGTTTGGCTGAATGTTGGAATCATGGAGGAGCTTTGAGTTAACCATTTTATTTTAAATCTCAACTCTTGGAAACATATCTTTGGCTATATTCTGTGTGACAAAATGAGAAATATGCACAAAGCACTAAGGTTGCAGATGGAAAGACAAAGGGTGTCCCTTGGAAAAGCACTTGTGTGAGCAGACTGCAAGCAGATCCGGAAGTGTATTCTCCCAGAACACCATTTTCACTTCACTTCACAGATGACAGATAGACAACTATGGCCTTTCTCAGGTTTGTGTATCTGGCAAACATTTTGACAAAATAAAGAAGTAAGCCTGTAACTTCAAGGAAAACAAATTACAGTATTTGTTAATGGCAAAATTCCAATTTTCAAGTAAAAATTAAAATGCTGGAAAGCTTGTATTTGCTACTGTAAACCTGACAGCTTTCCCATTCATAAAGGTTTTTCTGCTTGAGATCACTAGAAATATTAATAAAATATTTTGACATCAAATGGTCACCATTTGAAAATATTTATAATGCATTGAGTGAATATTTTCCAAATAATTGAAGCATAGTATTATAAAAGCATTCAGGCCTAAAATCCATTCCAAAGACAGACTAATGTATTTTAGTGTAATAGAGTAGGAAAAGTCCATTGACATAGTTTCTGATTGCACGCTGCAACTAACCAAACTTTCCAATATTGGTGTTTCAGGGTCTCTACCGAAGAGAGAGAGGCTCAAATAAAGGCTGAATAACTAGCTGCTGTCTTACAGGTGCTAATTAGGTGAAGGAAAGAAAGGATAAAATTATTTGTTTCTAAAACAAATTAAGTTAGTCTTATATGAATCACTCTAGTTTAAAAAACATATCATTTTCTAGGCAACAGTTTCATTAACAAACTTGGATAATGAACTATTAATTTTGTGGAGTCTCAATTTTAATCTCATCTTAACTTCCCTTTCACTTACTTTCTAAATCAACTTTCCCCGTCAGGACCTGAGGTGGTGAAGGAATGTACTCACTCACTGTGGATGAGCAAAACTGCATGGGAAGAAACTGCCCATCTTTCTCCTGAGGAGCAGCTGGTGAACTTGAACTGCTCGCTTTGGGTTGGCAGTACAACTTCCTACCCATGAGGTCACCCAAATTCCCAAAAGAATGCAGTTGCTTAAGTAAAAGAAAACCAGGGTGACAGCACCACTGGCAAATCAGCCCAGTCTAACTCTCACTGTCTGCTCTTTACCTTGTTTCCAGACACTGCCTCTTCCAGTCTGCTAAATACCCAGTGGCATAAAGCCACACTGAAAAGCACACAGTTTGAGGCCACCAGCTGGGCATGCTGTCAGGAGGGACCAGTCCCTGAAGAAGGACATCATGTTTGGAAGGGTGGAGGGACACTGCAGGCAAGGAAGACCCTGGATGAGATGGACTGACATAGTGACTTGGATAATGGGGGTAGGTGTGTCAGAGACAGTGAGAATGGCTCAGGATGGGGCAGAGTTTAGAGCTATTGTGCATAGAGTGGTGATGAGTCACAAGTGACTAGATGGCACATAAGAACATTACTTGAAATACATGAAAACTAACAGGGTTTTTTTCTGGACACTCTGAAGTTTAGTTTCTAAATTGCACAAATGCTAGTCTTTCACTCCATTGCAACAAGGCAGTACATACACCCTTTATTCTCTCTCCAGCTATCCAACATTACTTCACCTGTAAGAGCTGACTGGATAGTGGGTTAAGTGTTACCCTGTTAACCAAAAGGTCAGTGGTTTAAACCCATGACCTTCCCCAAAGATAAAGACGACATTGTCTGCTCCCATAAATACTGAATAGCCTTAGATATTCTGTGTTGTGGTTCTATCCTGCCCTATGAATGCTAGGAGTTAGAAATGACTCAACAGTTGTGGGGTGTTTTTGGTGGTGGTTGTTTCATGAAAATCTATTCTACATGAGGAAATTATTTCACTGTTTACATACAAACCATACTCACAGTAGCATGCACATTTAAAAACCTTAGGAACTACCTTCAAATATACAGTTATGTGTGTGTATACACACAGAAATATAATACATACATACACACATACATACATACATTGCTAGTCCTCGTGGCCTAGTGGCAAGAAGCTGCACTGCAATCCCTAAGGCACATGGTTCAAATCCACCAGCTGCTCTGTGGGAGAAGGATGGGCAATCTCTTTCCATGTGATTAATTGCCTCTGAAAACCCGCAGAAGGTTCATCTATGGGTTGGTTCCAACTCAACAATACACAACAACAATAGATTTAACATAAGATGAAGGCTCCTGCAAAGGTATGCAATTCAAATTCACCAGCTGCTCCACAGGAGAAAGATGGGCAGTCAACTCCTATACAATTTACTGCCTCTGAAACCCCTCTGGAGGCTCAGCTATGCATTAGTTCCAATTGGACAGTACACAGTAACTATATATATACACATTCATACACACATACATGTTGTTGTTATGTGCCATCAAGTCAGAACCAACTCATAGCTGACACACACATACATACACACACACAAACATATGGAGTGCTGGTGGCCTAGAGGTAAGGAGTTGCACTACAATCCCAAAGGTACACAGTTTAAATTCACAAGCTGGAGTGCACCAACTGCTACAAAAAGATAGGCAATCTCTTCCTGTGTGATTTACAGCATCTGAAAAGCTGCTAGAAGGTCAGCTATGAGCTGGTTCTGACTCAGGGGCACACAACAACAATATATATCTTTTTGCTTATGTCAGTAATTCTGACACTTGTATTTTTATTTGCTATTTATGGGGTTGCTGTGATGTGAACCTTGTGCCATTAAGGTGCCAAATGCTATAATGGTTGGTTACCCATGGTGGACAGTGTTTGGTGGAGCTCCCAGTTTAAGACAGGTATGGAAGCAGGAATGGCATCCACTTCCTAAACAAAATGCCTCTGAAACTCTAAGAACTTTGATAAATGTTGATAGTTATAGAAAAGCTTCAGATCATTTGTTCTTAGGATAACTATGAGTCGTGCTCAACTCAAAGGCAATCAACAACAACAACTAGAGAACCCAATATAAATTTTCACACTTAGTATGAAATATATGTGATCTTATTTTCATTAGATGTTCCTAAATAAGAGTTTAGCTCGTTACCTTTATTCTTTTAATTTATAATTCAATAACCACTGGATAAAGCTTAGGGTTCTAAAAATTAAAACAAGTAATTTGTCTCCATTGGCCCTGAGGGTATTCCACTGGGGCCACAGAGGAACTCGCGAGTGACACGACTACTGTTCACACACGACAGCCTCCTGGTGAATGGGAAGAATGGAAGCGTGCCACAACACCCACTCTGCTGGGCTGGCCATGGACAGATTTTCTTAAAGCTGCAGAGTTACAATATTTTCCTTATTTCCTGATTATACTGAAAGCAGTTTAGTAAGGCTTGTTTTTCTGCCTGTTTTTACCTGGTTGGAACCTTTATAAAGCTCAATTAACTGGCTGTCATTCTGTTTGTCATTTCTACACAATAAAGATAATGAGATTTCTTTAAAAAAAAATCACAAATTAGATTCTTAAAAAACACCTTAGAGAAAGCTCGGTTTATTTTGTTGTTTCAAATATATGCCACTACATTTGCAAATTCAACATTTTTCAGGAGTATAATGATGCTAAT